CATAAATCATTTTTTAAGACTTTTTCGTACTCAGAACTTTTCTGGCATTAAATTTGGCACATTGGTTTTAACATTATCTATTTTTTACATGAGGATTTCAAGATTTGTGCGCTTCAGAAAGAAAACATGTTTTTGTGTGCCATTACTCTGAAAATGACTCGTCAGTTAGCAGTATTTCTATCAAAAACATCAAAGATGATTGATTGAAATGCTTCGTTATTTCTAAAACTTCGTCTGAATATCAATCACACTTGAACAAACTCATTGAAAAACTTTTCTGTTGAACTCTTTTAAATTAATTATTCATTTATAGGTTTTTAATTCTAATGCATAAATTTTATTTGAATCGAAAAGTAAAAATGATTGTGAGAAAAAAAAGTCAATATTGACAGATAATGAAAAAATCAAACTAATATTTTTTTTTTTAACAAAAGAGATTAGTCTATTTTCAACTGAAGTTCTATCGATGATTTTCTCACAGTATTATAAATAAATTCATATATTTTTTTCAAACATATTTTTAAATGTTTTACGATCAAAAAATAGAATAGTCGATTGAATTTATTATTTCAAAAATAAAAATAATGTTTTTTTTTTAAATGTTGAGTATTTCCTTTAATTCCATAAGATGATCTATTTAAAAAAAAATTATTAGTCTTTTTATATGAATTTGATCATATATATTCCTTTCACACATATATGTCAAACAATTCATGGAAAGAAAAGAGTAAAAGCTGGAACGTAATTCCATTGGCTCAAACGACTAAGGATAAGCTACATACACTTTTATATGTGGCGTGTGAATGTAGCTTATATCGACCCCATTAATGCATTTGTAGTAGGACTCCTTTTTAAGAGCTGATATTTCTAATTAACGCAGCAAAAATATTAATATATGCCATTTATGCAATTATTTTACTTGAGTCAAATAAAATATTGGAATTATAGACGAAAAAACTATGAAGTTAATTTTCGAACACTGCAGTTTTATGAAGCGTTACTATAACTGATTTTATTGAAAAATAAAAGTGCAGTTGAAAAGAGAATTTATTTTATAGTATTTCTGTCATTGTTTTTAAAACTTTCTTCATAAGATCAGATGTCGTCTCTCGTAATACATTAGACATTGATTGAATCATTTATCTCAATCTATTCAAAGACCAGTTCACAGTTGGAAAAAATATATGAACTACACAACATATATTACACAAGTGATGTTCAATTCATTTTTATGCGATGAAACATTTTCTTTCTTTGGGGTCATTCACACTAGACGAATTAAAATTGAATTAAGAAATATGATTGGTGTTGCTATGTGGAAACACAAATCATATATCTTAATTCAACTTTAATTCGTCTAGTATGAATGGGGTCTTTTTCTTCATGAAATGTCTTCGTCTATTTTCATATAACCGACAACCACGAAGATGACGAAGCGACTATCTATTGGACTATGAGAAATTGACCGAAAGAAAACACCATTCGCTGACTATTATTCTGATGAATGATACATCGATGTCATACTTTTCTTAATGAATTCATCTATTCTAGTCAAAATAAAATATGAATCAATTTGGTGTTCGTCTTCTGGATCTACCCGACGAGATAGTACTTATTATTTTGAAAAAACTGAGCAATATTGATGTTCTTTATTCGTTATTGAATATTAATAATGAACGACTTGATATTTTAGCACAAGAAAAAATCTTCAGTAGCATACTTAATTTTGTATCGCTTGATCCTATTTCTTCAATTGACCGCTTCAAACTTGATCGCTTTTGCATCGATATATTGCCAAGCATTCATGAGAATGTCAAATATTTTATTCTTAAACCAGATTTGATGGAATGTATTCTTCTTGCTAGCGACTATCCAAATCTAACCAAAATAAAACTTTTTAATTTCAAAAAAGAATTCGTTTTACATTATTTTGCAAGTAAGTGGAATAACAAAAAACAAGACTGATATTAAATAAAAACAGACTAAACAAAGTATGTTATTGTTTTTTTTATTCAGATGAATCACCTCTTCGACATATCTTTCAACAACAAATTACAGATCTAATTCTTGTAAATCATGACACAGACAAGCTGATAGGATCATCGAAAAATTATACTGTAAATGTGTATGCACATATTTTGAATTTCTTTAAAAATTTAAAACATTTGAAAATTATTGGATCATTCAATATGTCGAATCCGTGCTTGACACTTAGTAATTTACCATCGAATACTTTCCGCTCTTCGACTCTTACTTATTTATGTATCGATGTGTACACTTTAGACGATTGTCTTTATTTACTTGATGGTAGACTCAAACAATTGACTACACTTATTGTTCGAATAGGTTACATAGACAACTCATCATCGATCATTCACAACATGGTAAGTTGTAACAAATGTAGTTGATTATGAGACGAAGTTGACTATGTATTCTGTACACTTTTGATTTAAAAAAATAGAGGTCGTATTCTAGCAATAAGTAGGACTTGATGAGACTAGAAAAATCCTCAAAGGATTAGTCTCCTGATCCACGAAAGATGCACACGGAAATGTGAACGAGGATTTCGAAACAGAATGCGCCATTTCAAATTCACTACATCCTCATCCCCACCCACACTATCATTTCAAACTTTACTCATACGTTTACACCAACCCGCTCGTGCGCAACTTTCGGAATTTCTTTGTCTTCTTAGAGCTAATTGACTAAGATACAAACGTTTCATCTTTAAAACGCGAATTATAGATAGATAGTTTTTTGCGCTTGAATCACAAGATTGAAACTTTTCAAAAGTCAAATTTCTTATATCAAGACTCCTCGATAGTAGTGCCCTTATATTCTCTTATTCAATCTTAGAGTCATGCAGAGATTGTTGTAATCTTTTTGTTGATTGATAAGATAGCCGCAACTAAAACATATGACTAAAATATTACGATTATTGTAAAACGAATTGTTATTTGTCTGATAGTTTAGTGGATGTGATAATTGACAAAAACGATCGAAAAATAGATCTTTTCTACACTAATTAAACGAGATAAAGCAACTAATGGCATCATTGTTTACTAATCAATGGGTACTAATTCTAATGTATTTAAGTAATAAAACTTGATGCTTCTTCGCTATAGAAGTTAGCTTTATCAAATAAACAAAACACCTTGATTTTTACAACAGTTGTACATTTCAGTCTCACGAAACTTTTAGTAGCACGTAAAATACTTTTGTCTACATGATTTTTCTAATCTCATCAAGTTCTACTTATTGCTAGAATATGACCTCTAAAGCTTTCAATCAGTTAGTGGGATTGTCTTGTTGGTTGAGTTTGAATTTGATAACGCAATTAATAAGACTTCCAGAAAAAAATACATATATAAGATCGTACTATATAAGTACTTGTAAATTGGGATATTTTTGTTTCGCCATTCACCATTGCGTATTATGATATGTGAAGGATCATAGACATTAGATGGAATCAGTTTTTTACTGTAGTACTAGTCCTTCTGAGAATAGATATATGATCGGCACTATTTGCTATGTTCTAAAATTACAAAACGGAATTTGCTGAATGTCGTCTATCATTATTAAAAGACAAGCTCTATATTTCAAATAAAACAAAGAAGAATGTTAGGGAAATAGTTTATCAAGTAATTAATTGTATACATGAGCTTATTTTTTTAATTTAGTCAAGGGATGTTTATTTTTATTTTTAGGATAATTTACCTAATATGAAATGTTTCTCTTTGAAATGTGATACTCAAATTAGCTTACATGATACTAATTTTCTACCTCTTTTTCTTCGTATGTCAAATTTGGAAAAATTAACTTTATATCTTCGTATAAAAAATCGAGATAAATTCGTTGATGGTACTCTTCTTCAAAATGAAATTCTTGTTTATATGCCACAACTTCATTCACTCACTTTCTATATTTGTACTTGTATCAATGCTGTTGGTTTACTACATCATTTATCTAGCGAAGATGTCCAACGAACATTTACCAATATCGGACAACAACATGTAGCCAGTATCATCAATTATATTAGTTCCGAACAAATTACATGTTCTGTCTTCTCAATTCCTTTCACATTTGATTGTCTCGAAGATATTGGTCATATGATTCCAAATATTATATTTAATTATGTTACATATTTGGTGGTAAGAGATATGATTCCATTCAATCGTGAATTCTTCATTCAAGTTGCTCGAGCTTTTCCGTTACTAAAGATTTTTCGTATTTTAAATATGGAATCACAGTCATGTCAACTTACCAATAGTCAATTATACGAAATTGCTGAATATCCTCATCTTACCTATCTTGACATGCTATGTGGAAATATTGATTATCTTGAGCAATTTTTAAATGAAACAAAGACATATGTGCCATGTCTAACAAAATTAAAAGTCGTTTATAATAACTTAAGAATTGTTACAAATAACTTTACAAGAGAAGAAACACGACGCAATTGTGCTAAAATAAAACGACTACTGATGTTAATACCGTTGGTACATACTAAAGAGTTTTATCTTCATTTTCCATTGTTATAAATAGAATTCTGTTTTGATTTGTTTAATAAAATTAAATGCAAAATATGTCTTATTTTGTACCACAATACTGATACGATCGACAGGGTGACTATAAGGAAGGTAACACCGTATTTTCTTGATTTGCTTGTTATCCATGGGCAGTTGAGTCTCATATTTATACTACACATACTGGGTGATAGAAGTTAAAGTCGCACCATATGAGCATTAGTTAGTATTAGAGACGTAACAATACCAATACGGTATTGGGGTATTGATATTGTTAAATCAGTAATTATGTATTAATTAGTTAAGTAATATTGATTAATTAACATTGATTGTTATCACAGACCATGGCTGACATTATAAATTGGTATTAGTTAGTGTTACAAGAGTTATTCTGTGTTTCACATTTTAATCCTACGAAGGTTGCACTGACAGCTTTCTATTTTAATTGCAATTTCAATTCTAATTTCAATTTAATTGTAGTTAATTATTATCTTATTATTAGTAATTTAATTGTAATTACAATGACATTTCTAGTTGTACTTTAAACTGTAATTATTATCTTATTTTTTAATTACAATTAATTATTTCGAAAAGCCGCCTATCCTGTTACTGATTAGACAGATACAAACAAAATTCTTTTCATCTATATGATGATGATCAACATTTATTCTTTTAAAAATAAAACAAACAAAAAAAGATAAAATATTTTGCTTGTTTGTTGATAAATTTTCTTTTAAAAATAAAACAAAAAAAAATTATGTTTTTTGCTCGTTTGGTAGTAATTGTTTTTCAAGAGCTTCTAAAAAAACGAAAAAAAAAACATTAAGAATCTTATGTTTTTCTCCTTTACCTTTTTTCTCTTTTAATTCCTTCATCGATTTGCTGATAGCACTTTCTTCCATTATATGTGCATCAATTTCGCCTTTTAAACTTTTGATCTGTTCGTTCAAGTTCTTTATCAACTGTTCTTTTGAATTGATTTTATTCCAAACAGATTTGTGTAATTCGGACTCAGCACCAAGCTAAAACAAAAAAATAGAAATTCTTCGAGGAAGAACTAAACTAGATTCATTTACCTTTTTTTCATATTTTTCAATTTCGAGTTTGAGACGCTAAAGAGATAAAATCAGTTTTATTGAAATTTTTTCCATTTTATTACCGCATAGTTCGCTGGATCCACATTCAAGTTCTAAAATAAAGCCGATGAGTTTAATAACACTTCTCCAAAACTTAATTACCTGTCGAGTAGAAACAGGTTCAGATGATTCACCATCTTTACTGGTATCCGTTCGCGAACCCTAAATGAAAAAAATAAGATATATTTTGATTAATTATTTTATTAAAACATAGTTACTTGTTCAGATTCATGGTGACTATTATTGTCGCTCATATTTTCTTGAATCAAAATACGGATAAAATGGATATCTATCTAAAAGAATATGTGTTATTCGACATGATATTTCCTTCGCGAATATTTAGATGGAAGTGTATTCGAAGGAAACGCAATAGATATAAAATGGAGAGAGAGAAAGGCAACAGAAAAAAAGAGAAATGAAAGTAAAGAAACAATAAAGGAGAAAAACAGTCTCTACTACGACGTTCAGATAGCGAACGAATATAAGATTTATTCGTCCGCAGTTACACTCTGTCGACCATGTTCGAGTGCGCATCTGTCTAAACCCTCGAACATAAACACTTTAACTATTTACAGATATGAAATGAATTTAAGTAAACGGTAGACAAACTATCTTATGTATATCAAAAATAAAATGTAAATTATTCGTCTAGTACGTTAATGAGAAGTGATAAAACCGTAATTATTAATGAATTCAAATGAGAGTCATTGCGTCTATTATAGTTTTAGAATTACGGTGAATAACATCAATCGACAAAACTGTTTTTTAAAAAATTGTTTATGTATTCATAAATTAGAGTAGAGTGGACTATTCTGAACGCTATTTTAGAAATTTTAATAAAAATTTTAATAACTTTTTTTTTAGTTTTTGTTATTTTTGCGGAAAAAAAACACTGACATGTAGCTTGAAGTTTTCTCTACATACCTATCTAAAAATTTTCAAAAAATACCTTCAGGAAGTCGTTTATCACCTATTTTGCTAGAAGCTTTGGCTGAGTGTTCAGAATAGCCCCATATGGGGCTATTCTGAACACTCAGCCAAAATAGCTGGAAAATTTGAGCTTCACTCTAAATCACTTTACTCATCATGTAATCAAGATTAATTTATAATTTTTGCAGCAGTAGATAGAGCACCTTTGATACTACAATCGGTAAGATTAACTCGTCTATAGCCTTTGTTTTAAATTAATAGTAATTAAAACACTTCAATTTAAAAAAATAATTTTTGTTCATAATTGCCCCATACGGGGCAATTATGAACACATGCTTCTTATAGCGGGGCAGTTCTGAACGCTATGCTAAAATGATAGTAATATTCAAGTTTTTATTTCTGATCATTTTCCAAACAAACAATACATCAGATTGAAAATCATCCGCTAGAAAAGTTATAGATAATCTGATTCTGAACAATTGGATACCAAATTCAATACCATTAGAATGAATAATAAAAAAAATGTCAATACCAAACAATAAATCATGTCCCTTTATCAGCATGATTTTATAAGTTAGTTTTAGTTTTTTACGCTGTATACTTATAAAATAGATTAATATCTTTTCGGTATAAATTTTTAAGAATTTTCAAACATATTGTAAATGATAACAGAGAAAATAAACAGCAAAGATTAGGGAAAATAAATGAATCAATGATAAAACATGAGATCAAATAATATGTTGATTAAAAGCATCAATGTCAATTGATCTCATTTCCTTTAAGAACTAAGAATATAATGTTTAAGCATTTCAGCTCGATGAAAAACATAGATTATAGACTGAATCCCAGTTAAAATACGTTAAATAAGAGTTTGAAATACAATGTTGACCATGAGTCACTGTTTCGACATCAGTGTTTCAAATTGCTCACTGTCCTTGTCTATGTGAACATTTTCAGAAGTGATGATAAGGACTAGTATAGGTCAGGGTGGCCAGATCTTCCGATATGGCAGGAAAAATTCCGATTTTTGAAATTTTTTCCGACGACTTTCCGACGTTCCGATTTTTTCCGATTTTAGCATACTTTTCCGATCACTCTCCGATTTCCTAATTTCTCTCCGATTTTAGGAGTTTTTTTTAAATTCAAGTTTTTGGAACAGTTTAGAATAACTTAACAATGACTCAATACTACATATATATTGCGAGATCTTTACTTTATTATAATTATTAGATAGCGCAGGGTCATGAACTCAATAAAGCACACTTCAATGCTCTGAAAGGTCATCCTCGAATAAAATTAAGATGGTTTAGAGACAACAAAGATTCAGTTCTATCTCGATGAACTGATTTTCTCTCTTAGTTTACTGTATTGATAATTGCAACTTTTTTCCTTTTTGAGTTTTTCTTGTGCGATTGCAAATATAATAAAACCAATCATAATCGTAAAGGTACTGATT